AATGAAATCATAAAAGCTCAACTATTCAATATTCATATTTGTTTAAATGGTAAAGACACTAAGGGGTGTTATTAGTTTGTGTAATTAGAAGGATTTTTAAAGATTCTAACAATTAAAGAGTTTATTGAATTTAAAAAGAATTTRTGATTTTCTTTAAAATTGGTTCCACGATTTTATAAGATTTATAATTRTTTGAGTTGAGGATAATTATAAACTTTTGTAGAGTTTATCTWTCTGTTAAAAWWTTTTGWTTTTATTTGTTGTTATCTACTTTGTGTTAAATTTTCATCTTTTATAAATTGCTTCAAAAGTTCATACGTTATTATTGTGTACATTTCCCAAAAGCTGCAGGTATGCCACTAAATACTCAACTTTTTTTTTCTTTCTAATTTATATTGGTGTGTTCATCCAGTTTTTTCTTATATATGTTTGTATGTTTGCACAGTTTTTTTTTTCTTCTGAATATTGTATGTGTGTTCATATAGTTTCGTTGTGTTCTTTTGCTCTTTATTTGAGTTATACTTTACGTTCCATTTTCTTGTTTAATTTTGTTATCGATTGATTGAATTTTCGTGATTGTCAATATATATTTACTTACAATGATCTATCATGTATAATCTATGGGGACCCGATGAAACAAACTTGTTGATCGATCTACTTGTCGATGAAATTAAACGAAACTGGCGTGATGCTAACGGTTTAATAAACAAGCGTTAGGTGGAGCAAAAGATTTTGCCAGTTCTCAATGAAGAACTTAAATGCAAAAAAGAATACAAACACTACCTAAGTCGATTGAAGTATTTGAGGACCATATACCAAAACTATGTGGATTTTCAACGTTTCAATTCTCGATGTGGATGAGATCCTCTAGCAAAAAAGTTTACTGCTCCTGATGAAGTGTGGGATGAGTATTTAAAGGTACGTAATTGATTACATAAATTTAAGCATCATCATAACTTGATTTTCAAACATAGCTTATACATGACACATTTTTTGTATTAACCTACAGAAACATCCTACCCATAAACATCTGCGGTATAAATCGGTTGACCAATTTGAGAAACTACAACTCATATTTGGATGTGGTATAGCTACTAGTGGTTTTGCAGTTGGAATGGGTGATACTACTGATGCTCGCACTTTTAAAGTGGGGGAAAGTAATCGAGWGAGAGAAAACATGGAACTTCATGAGAGCAACAATGAAATTTTTGAATTATCATCCCAACTTCCATCAGTAGAATGTGGTATGTRGTCTTTTCCTGGCACAAGTTCAAAAGGCAGTGTAGAAAAACTTCATCCGAGGAAGAGGTCTAAAAGAGAATCGACTAACGATGTTGATAAGCTGAAAAACGATAATTATGACTCGATGATCACAGTTAGCAACAAGATCCTTAGTGTCATACAACAAAGAGAAGAAAGACAACAAAGAGAAGCTGAGAAAAGAGAAGAAAAGCTAAAACGGGAGGCTGAAGAAAAAGAAACTGAGAGAAAAAAAGATAATATATGGGAAGCCATGAAGGAGATTCCTAATTAGATAATCATACCCGCTACAAAGCTATTACTTTGATTCATTCACTAGGAATGAAAAATGTCTTCATAGACATTACAGTAGAAGAACGTTTTGGTTGGATTCAGAGCAATGTTGGCTCTATTTGATTACTTTAGTGGTCTTTGAATGTTTTTGGGMTTTTWAAAYSRTTTTTTATAATCTTGTGTTTGGTGAGACTATCTTTTCTGATTGGTTTATTAATAAAAAAAAATTTTGAACGCGTTTTGCTTCATATAAGTAGTCTTTGATAATCACATCTCAAATTATTTGTTTTTTATTCTGTGAAAATTTTACGAATTTTCTTCTCCACGTTTGATTCAAATTTTACTCTTTCTTGTTTTCATGTATATTTCAATTGTGGGTTACTACTACATTTCATTAGTTTTARGTTTACTGCATATTTGTGAGTARGTGATMGTTTTCATTTTTGCCATTTAACCGATTATATTATTTTTATAGGGACTTATTTCTTTACGATGGAGCACATTATTGAGGGAGATGAAGAGCTTCATCTTGAAGATGATGAATCAGAAATGGACATTATATTATTCATATTGGAAAATACAACTACAGCTTATTTTACAAAGAACAAACGTGTCGAGCGTCCGATTCGTCAGCCGGTCACAAAAATTGGTTACAACTACATCCAAAACGCTCTAAAGGAAGATCCAGAACACTTTCGACAAGTGTACCATATGTATCCAGCTATCTTTTTGAAGCTATGTGATCTTATCAAAGATCAAACTTCTCTAAGAGATACCCGACAAGTGTGTCTTGAAGAAATGGTAGCTATATTTTTGCTCACTATTGGTCAAAATTCAAGATATTCTTACACAATGGACACATTCAAAAGGTCAAAGTTTGCTGCAAGTACAAATTTTCACAAGATTTTAAAGGCATTAAACACGATCACCCCAACTTTGATGGCTAAACCTGGAGTTACAGTTGCTGCAAAGATAAGAGATAGCACACGATATTATCCCTATTTCAAAGTACGTTTTATTCAAACTATTTTGTTTTAGCTATAGTACACTAGAACTAACTATTATCTTTACAGGATTGCGTTGGCGCTATTGATGGTACACACATTAATGCAATAGTGCCTGCTTCTGAGGCACCTAGCTTCCGCAATCGGAAAGGACAAATATCACAAAATGTCCTTGCTGCTTGTAACTTTGATTTAGAATTCATATATGTTCTTAGTGGATGGGAAGGTACAYCTCACGATTCAAAAATACTAAATGATGCTCTAACACGAAGCACTAGCAGATTACCTGATCCAGAAGGTATATATATTCAATATTCATAACAGATAAACTTTTTTTATCTTTTTTTTTGTAAATATATGCATTAATATCTTTGTATAACGTATGATTTTCAGGAAAATTCTATTTAGTTGATTACGGATTAGCTCCATTCAGAGGAACAAAGTATCATCTACAAGAGTTTAGAGGTCAAGGTCGTGATCCTAGTAATCAAAATGAGTTGTTCAACTTGCGTCATGCATCTTTGAGAAATGTGGTCGAGCGAATTTTTGGTATCTTCAAATCTCATTTTTTGGTTTTTAAATTGGCACCGCCATTTCTTTTTAACGTACAAGCGGAACTTGTATTAGCTTGTGCTGGATTACATAATTTTCTTCGTAAACATTGTCGGTCTGATGAGTTTCCTCCTGAAGCAAAAAATACGGACAGCGAAGAAAACAATTCTCAAGAAAATAGAAATGCAGGAATTTTCTATGAAAAAAATGGAGATGTGGGAACTCTCCAATCTCAGCAAAGAGAATATGCTAATATGCTAATATGCACCTTAGAGTCTCCTTCACAGTGTGTGTAAAGTATTTTGTTTATATGGTGATGTTGTGATAAAGGTAGTTAAAAAAAGTTTTCATGAAACCTAAAAGCTACAATTACCAACACAAAACTTTGATTGTTCTTAAAGAAAAACCACATAAACACACTTTCTCCTCCAAACGATGACCACAAGTTCTCCGACTACAAATTCCTATGTAGCTACGGTGAACTTTCGGTGCCAATTTCCGAAGGATGATCTCGGCGGTTGTAACCGTAACTTCCGAAGAAGATCTAACGAATCTCATGGAGGTATACAACAACCGACAGAAATCTAACGAATCTTACAGAGGAATATGATGACTCGAAACCATCATCGTGAGACTCGAAATCGTCACTGATTAGTAATCAAGCATCCAAACATGGAATCGAAATCGTCACTGATTAGTAATCAAGCAGAAGAAGAATTGGAATCGAAATCGTGAGACTAGAATATTTCTATTAAATAAACAAAAAAG